CTCTCTGTATTGAGGTTGTAGGCTAGTCTAAATGAGAGAGATTGAGCAGAGACAGGCCAGAGAGCAGGCATGAAAGAAGAAGAAAATCACTCAGCTTGTATCAAGGCACTTCTTACTGTTGGGAGTATTCAGACGTGAGAACCTGACTCCCAGCACCTTCTAGCTGGGACCATTCTAGTGGCAATGGAATGGCACCGGCACTTTATTTCTGGTTTAGTTTTGATAACATACATTGAAGCAGATCCGAAAACAAACTAAAATCCTGGCTACTTTCCACTCATCTATAGGGCAGTTTTTACAAGGAATAAATTTGTTTCCTTCTGCCTGTCTGCAGAAGCAGCATTTTAAATAATGTCATACTCTTCAGGATCACTCAAATAAAAAGAAAGGTCCCAAAGTCTCTCTTAGCAGCGTGGCACAAGCTACCTTCACTCAACCATCTCGTGAAGCCTGCAGCTGGCACTTGTCGCAGTGGCAGCTCTCACTAAATGCTGCCAGCGTCTGTGCCCTTTGCAAAATTTTTCTGGAGTACTCTGAAGGCTCTCTCCAGTAAGAGCACGTTTCTAATGAGTTGCTGAAGCTGACAACTGGAGGCAATATTACACTTTCCTGCCACCATTTACAATGTTACTGTGGGAAGTCTCGGGTGATGCAGGTAAGTGAACCCATTAAAACAGGATCATACACCTGACAAACTGTGCTCTTTAGTGTTCCTATGACACGATTAGGTCCTCAGGTACTTCTGTGATCTCCTCCATCCTTCCTTCTATCCCAGGATGCCCTCATGCAGAATGAAAGAAACGATGGTGGATCTGACAGGATGCTTTTTTGTCTCAGTAAATTGATGATAGATCGTCACTAATTAGCACAGCTAGGGTCAAGCTCACTCTTATTTCATTCTCTACTAAGATAGCATGATTGTAGGAGACCAACTCTTATTTACGTGTAATAATATGGTTTTTTCCTCCTTTCAGTTCAAACGTAACATTGTGTTCAATGACACCACAATGTTTTGTGAAAAGTACAAGTGCTTTGAACATGTGGGAATCAAAAAGCTCTAAATAGATTGTGTAATGCTGCCAATAAAGCATGTCCTTGGACCCTAGCCGAGAACAACCAAACCTTCATTTCGAGTAAAGCACTGGATGTTGAGAAAGAGAAATACCAAAGCTTTAGTCCTAGTTCCCACCTCAGTCGCACTTCTAGCAAGTCACTGCAATCTCTTTGCCTTGGGTTGTCTCACCTGTAAGATTTCTTGGGGTGGGAGGAGGTGCTTGTGGGATCTTGGGAGGTTAAAGCCCTCACCACTTTTTGACATCTGAGATGTAACTGCCTGGGTTGATGACTCCCATAGGAACCGGAGGCAGCAGCAGGGGTTCCGGGCGGTGAGCCGAGGGGCAGCAGCCCTGCCTCCTGCGGGCAGCACCCGCCTGACCTGCGCCCAGGTGGGCACATGCCCTGGTGCGGCCTCACTCCCGCTGCCTCGGCGGCTGTCAGTCAGGAGGTGGCGGTGGTCCCGCTCCCCTCCCCTCCCCACCAGAGCCTGCCTGGGGAGGGGGGAGGTTCTGCAGTCAGTCAGCCCCCACACCTGCTCCTGGCCTTGGCTTTTACTGCCCTTTGACCGTGAAGCAGATGAAGTATTTAGAGGCAGCTGCTATTCCTGTCGTTAGCGCCCAGACTTCCTAGGAGAAAACTGCTGGCTTTGTGACAGCTGAAATCTGATTGAGAGGAAGCTTTTTCACTTCAGCATGTACAAAAGCCAGGGGAGAGTGAAGTGAGGGGGAGGAAAAGACAGCACTCAATTTGCTATTCATTCAATTCTGTCAGGAAAGCCCAAGCAACTGGAGATGACGGCAGCGTGGTGGATATTGTTCAAGGGATTGAGGATGCAGAAACAGCGGGTAAGAAAACAACGCAGCGCGAGGGGGCTGTGTGCCGTGCTCCTTGCCAGGATACGTTAGCTCCCACTGAGCAGTTCTGTGCTCTGGAGCCTGCTGGTGGTTCTTGCCAGTTTAAAGCAAATGTGAGTATCTCCATGTTGTGCTGCCGTTGCAGGTGCTGGAACAGGAGGGTACCCAAGAGATCTGCCTAGCCTTCTCCACTCCAGCGCGTGATCCTTTCTCGGTCTTCTCTAGTGTACTTCCCAGTGTTTCTCTGGAGAAGGAAAAGGCTGTTATTCCCACTCTGCAGCTGAGGCACTGGCATGCAGAGAGGCTGACTCGTCTGATTCTAGGACACGAGGAAATGGAATGAAGCTGTGTCAGGGGAAGTTCGGATTGGACATTAGGAAAAAATTCTTCACCGAGAGGGTGGTCGGTCTCTGGAACAGGCTCCCCAGGGAAGGGGTCATGGCACCAAGCCTGTCAGAGTTCAAGGAGCGTCTGGATGAAGCGCTCGGTCATTATAATTTAGTTTTAGGTAGTCCTGCGAGGAGCAGGGAGTTGGACTTGATGATCCTTACAGGTCCCTTCCAACTTGAGATATTCTATGATTAGGTGCTTTGTTGCTCTGCCGTCTCTTGGGTTTTGATGTGGAGTTATGTTTGTGAGACTGTTCTTCCTCTTCTCCAGCTGTGGCTGCTGAAAATGCTCTGATTTCTTTTTAAGGACTGTGATAGATGTTTCAAAGGAAAGCATTTTATTAAGGCTGCCCAGTTTACCTGTGCTCTCCTTTGATGGAGTTCAGATAGCTTCCAGCACTGGAGGGAACTGTGGGTCAGAAGCACTCTTCCAGCACTCCGTCTTTTTAAAATGAAAGTGCAGGCTTTCTGTTGCTACCACGATTTCTAATTTGAAAGAAAACTCCTAGGATTTCATGTCATACTGTGATGCCAACAGGATCAGAGATGGTTCTTTCCAAACCAATTAATTTACAGAGCAGCTCTGCTAATATAATTCAAGAGGCTTTCTGAAAAGGTGTCACTTAGTAAACAGGGGTAGATGAGCCAGAACATGAAAGATTAATGTCCCCCTTGTTTCCCATGACTCTGTTCAAGCCTTGGACTGAGATAGGAAGAGGTAAGGAGAAAGAGTCAGTCCTAGTTCTGCCCAATGACTCAACAACATGATTGCATGCATGTTAATCTACCAAAATTTATCCTCTCCTTTAGAAATAAAACCGATTGCTCTGGGCCAGCCTGAAGTCTTTATGCTGGCCAGTTTACACAGGTTGTAATTTGATTTGATGGCCAATAGATTTGAAAATCTTCTTGTGTTTTACTTGGGACTTGTCAAAATAAAAGGCTACCTAGGATTTTGGGGGGATAGGAACAGAGTTACATTACATGCTAGGGTTATGGGAGGTGATGTGGTTAAACACTGCATGCACATATGTGCTCTGGGGACAGCTTGACAGACTGCAGGCTTTTGGAAAGAACTAGCCTAGCAAAGGAGGGGGGAAAAAGCATCTGTCAGTAAATAGATGGATAAAGATGCTCTGTGCTGCTTTTAAGAAGCACCAATCATCTTTATAACTTCGACAGGTGGCAATAGGGCAGGGAGGGGAGGAAGAGATTCAGAGAATTGTGTGGGTGGTGAAGAAATTAATCCTAATGAATTGGAAGAGCAAATCCACAGCGGGCAGAAAGCTTCGGATTTCTGCCCTGCTGGATATGGATAAATGCAAGAGAATCCCTTTTGCATGCAAGAGCTAATTGGGCAATTACAATGTAATCTCAAAACCTTTGCTTAAACTGTACCCTGACTATCAAAGCGTGAGGCAGATTCTCTTCCAGTGGTTCATAAGGCTTGCCCAGAGTCTTTCAGATGGGTGTTTGAAAAAGGTCCTCTTTTTATCTTTCCCTCTCTTCTGGGAAATAAAACCTCCCTGTTACTTTTTTTTTTTTTTTTTTTTTTTTTTAAATATCACTGTGTTATGATAGGAGAACTCATTTCCAAGGCTTCCTTTCAATGTTTTCATCTTCACACAGAAGAACACACGAATGTAAGAATGGCCAGACTAAAGGTCCATCTAGTCCAATATTATTATTCTTCCCTCAGAGCCTGCTTGCGGCCGCAGTTGGAGACAGCAGCACGAGCATGTATGACATTTCCTTCTAACACTTTCACAGCTTCCAAACATTTTCAGCTCTGGGGCTTCTCTGAGCTTAACCTCTGTTTCTTTACTAATCCTCAATTGCTCTTTCTTCCATTCAGTTCTCTTGAACAGATGTAACCCTTTGTATCAACATCCCTTGCCAGGGAGTTTGCAGGTCTACTACGAAGTGGTGAAAAGAAAAGTCCTTTTTTTTTCTTTTAAATGGCTTCCTCTTGATAGGTTTTATATCTGACAGAATAGTCAATTCCCATCTACTTTTTTCATGCCACCTGCAGAACCCCACCATATCTCTTTGTCTCATTACTAGTTACATCCTTAAAGACATTTTCTGAAGAATGTAATCAAAAACATTTTTGAAATGAGTTAACTATGTCAATGAGATCACTGATTTCTCCAAAGAATACCAAGAGGTGGGTGTCACAGGACCTGCCCTCGCAGAAGTCATGTTGACCCTTACCCAAAATATCATATTTATCATCTGTTAATGCTGTCTTTTGTTATCACTTCTACTAATTAATCGAGTCTAGATGCCAGGCTTGCAGACTCGTAATTTCCCTGGCTCTCACGTGGACCTCTATTTTAAGAATAGCCTTACAGTTGCTACCTTCTGGTGCTCGGGTCCCAGAGACATTTTACACGAGAGGCTGCCCATGATCATTAGTAATTCAGCTACTCTGTCCCTGCGGTTCCTCTGGTACTCTTGGGTAAGCGCTGTTCTGCCCCTGGGATCCTCCAGGGCCAATTCTGTCTGTCTGTATCATACACTCATCCATGTCAACTTTAAACAGAGCCTCTTCCAATTTCCTCACTCTTCCTACTTCTTTTACAAAAACAAACATGGGAGGTTCAGGCATGGGAATCTCACCAGTTTTCTTTTGGTAGAAACAAGAAAGCTCTGATGCAAAAATTTAATTTATTTTCTCTGCAACAGCCGTGTCAGGTCTGAGTTCTCCCTTTACAGCTTTGCTATCACTTGGCCCTACAGACTTTTCTTCTCTGGCGTGTTGGAGGAAGGATTGAAGAAATAGCTAAATGTTACCGGAGAGGCTCTCCTTATCTTTTTTTAGGTCTATCTAGAAGCTAAAAGTGACAATGTTTTCATCTGCTTTTGAAAGCACAGGGTCCTGAGACAATTTGGATGAGGAATGATCAGTAAGAGAGCTCTCTGTCTGCAGTGCTCTCTGCTGGATACCTTGGGGTTTTCCCACCCCTAATTTCTGGGTTCATGTTGTCTAAATCTTTTATGCGAATGCCCTTGAACTAAGCTTTGAGTGCTGCAATGCCAAGCACTTCCACGCTCCAGAGAAAAGAGGCGTCTGGGTGCTTCCAAAAGCTTGGATGCTTTTAAGGCTTTAAAACTCAAGACTAATTCCTGTTTACTTCAACCATCTTCCGAAGGATCACTTGTGACGTGAAGCATGTTATTCTGAACCTAGTTGGTATTCTTTCTTTCGGAGGGAGTGTTTTTCTTTAGAACTGGCACCAACACAGCGATTCAGCATCAGGCTGGTCTTGCTCACATCCGTTGTGTATTGCCATCTGATCACACAGATGAAAAAGAGCCTGTGCCTTGCTAGGGTGGAGTTGGAAGGGAAAGCAAAGAAGGTATTTGCAAGCAAATACCCCAATGGTATTTGGCACCCCAACGGTGCCCAATCCCCAATGGTATTAGCATTCAGGTGAGGTAGCACCCATGCCTACAAGATTACACAAAATAGAAATGAAGCTCATGTCACAGTGTGTGGTGGTTTTTCACAAAGAGAGAGGAAAAAAATGCATTGGTGGCTAATATTTATATATCCAGCACTGTTTTCATGCTTGGTCACTTGGAAGTTGCTGCTGCTGCAGGGTAGCAAACCAAGCTGTGTACTTACTCTCATGGTTCACAATGTACAAATACACCTTGAGGGTAAAGTAAGCTGGAAGAGAGTTAAGAAATTTGCCTCTTTTTATAATTTACTTGCTGAAGGAGGCTGTCCTCTGAGCAGGCTAACTATTGCCACAGAAAGCATAGGCATTTCTAGGGATTCAGCAGCACTCCTGAAGTGACCATGTTCTGGAGGAGGATGGTTAGGAGAAAATTGTTCCCATACGGAGACTTGCCAAGGACAAATCTATAGGGCTGCACCTTTGTTGCAACACCGGGCCTGTTTCTAGGCTTGATTACTAAAATAGTGTATGTGAAAGGAGGCTGATTGTCAATCTATCCATGGTTGGTCTTGTACACACTCTTGGGCATGTTTGCTTATCGCTAGCAGGACACCTCATGTAAACCAGAGAGTTAAAACATTGCTGTTCTCTAAGACTTCATTGTATATGTAGAGACTGTATTTATGTTTGTACATGTGATGCATGAGCAAATACACAGCTTGTGCAAGTTTTATCTATGTTCTCCTGTGGAATGAAGTAACGCTCTCCTGCTTACAGCATGCTGGTGTCTGCCTTGTCTTGCTGTTAATGAATTATTTGTGATACCAGCTATGAGTCCTAGCTATGAATTGGGATTCTACCATATTTCATGAAGACACTGTATAAATGGGACCGAGAGAGAGAGTTCTGGCTCCAGACAGGTTATGAGCTACTTTTTATCTAGATCTGATAGGATGCATGCGAACAGCAATTGGTTTTTTAACTCCATCTGGCGACCCTAACCCTTTCCAAGATGAGATCTCCCACTGATGCAAACGTTCCTTTGGTCATAATGTCTAGTCAAATACAACTTCGTTTCCTCTGTGAAGTTTTATACTGACTAATTTTTTTAATCTCTTTGTGGTCTCTTCCAGTAAGAGAGGCTGAGCAAGATTTTTGAGGTGTTAAAGGGAAGCACAGTAAAATCAATTATATAAATGCTACCAAACTCATACTTCATAGAGCAAATGGAAGTTTCACATAAGATGAAATATACCTTAGGCTGGGACGCTGATCTTATTTGTTTGATGAATCTGTTTACCTCTTGCATGCATCCAT